ATCTATCTATCTATCTATCTATCTATCTATCTATCTATCTATCTATCATCTATATATATAGGCACTCAGTCCTGTGGTGCTTTGCAGCATTTCCAAGCTGTGGGGTTTTCAAGTTAGGATCAAGTTAGGATTTCACCTTGACTGCCTGTGGAAATCACTCGTGGCTCTTCCAAAAGGAGTCTATATTTTCTTGGATCCAGTTTCCAGCTGTCCACCATGGCTTCTTCTCCTTCCACCCTCAATCAACTATGCCAAAAATTGGGTGGGTTGGTTTGTGTTTGGTCTGACATCTGCTTGATTGACATCCCCAAAATATATGACTCCCCGCTTCCTTTGAGACTAAGACTGATGGGCTGTTTTTGCAATCCGTGGTGCTCCTCCTAATCCTTTCCAAATCCATCATACAATGGCATCTTCCTTGCCTTGCTCACTGTGTAAATTTCACAAGCCTTTGGCTCAGTTGGAAAGAGGCCAGTGTTTCTCAACTTTGAAAAGTTTAAGCTGGGTGGACTTCAACTCCCAGAATTCCTCAGTCTGTTAACATGCTTGTGCAGAATGGCTGGGGAATTCTGGGAGTTGAAATCCACACGTCTTTAAATTCCCCAGGTTGAGCTGTATCTGGACAGCAAAATCTATGTCTTCCTATCTTTGCACTTATATCTAGCCTCGGAGCAGGTGATAAGAAGCGGTGCCTTTGCAAAGTTATAAATAAGCATATTAATTTTCATCATGGCCACTTTTCAATTTGCACGTGCGATAGCTAATTTCATGTTTGAAGCAAGGAGGAGAACGGGGTTCTTTGAATAACTATGCATAGTTTTTTTTTTAATAGGCTCTGTAAATTTAATAATACAGCTTTATAATTTTGCCATCCTAATACAAATGTTTATTTTTAATCATTGTGCCAAACTTTTTGGGGATTCTCCTCGTGTCCCTCCCAGGTTGTTGTCCTTTGTCTCTGAATGTTTTGCCGGGTGCCACCATCTTGGTGAAGATCTCCAAGGATGAAAAGGGAAGAAGAAGGGATGCTTAGTTGTCTGCCAGGAGAGCCATCCAAGCCAGCTGGAGAAATCCTTCACGGGGTCATCGTAGATTGCAAGACCAGAGTGGACTTCAGAGGACGAGGCAAATCTCTGGATGGAGATACGGGGAGATCCTGTGGACAGGCCATCCTGCCTCAGGTGAAGGGAGAATCAGAAGAGGATCTAACCCAGAACTGGGAAGTCCAATGGAAGACTTTTTTGAGGACCATGGAGTCCTCTCACTCGGACTGGGGAATGACCCATTTCCCAGAGGACCCTTCCTTGTGGGAAGATGCCAAGACCTTCCTGGGCTCCTTCGAGCAAGTAGCTGAGGCTTGTTGCTGGCCCAGGGAGCAGTGGGTAGCCCGGCTCTTGCCCGCCCTCAATGGAGAAGCCAGGCAGGCCTTCGATAAACTGGAATCTGGAGGCCGAGAGGATTATGGGAAAGTGAAGGCGGCCATCTTGCGAGAGGAGGCTCTAAGCAGAGAGAAGATTCGCCGGCGCTTCCGGCAGTTTAGCTACTGGCAGGCCGATGGGCCAAGAGCCGTCTATGCCCAACTGCGGGATCTCTGCCGCCAGTGGCTGAAGACCGAGAAGCACAGCAAAGAGCAGATTGTGGAATTGCTGGTCTTGGAACAATTTCTGGCTATCCTCCCCCCGGAAATGCGGAGCTGGGTGTGTGAATGCAGCATGGAGACCTGTGCCGAGGCCGTGGCCCTGGTGGAGGATTTCCTCTCAAGGCAGCAAGAGGCTCGGAGGCAAGAAAAGCAGGTGAGTTTGACCTGTGGGCTGTGCTCTTCCCCAAAATTGTGGGGTCTGCAAAGGGGTGCTTTTGGCTTAGAAACAGGACAGGAGTCCTGATTTTGTGATTTCTGTTCATGCATTCAGTGCAGGGGTGGGATTCAACCGGTGTTACTATCGCTTCGGTGACTATGTTTTGCGCGGCAAGGCTTCCTGAGGGCAAGGCTTCTTGAGACCATAATTAAGCCCACACTTAGTCCAAACAACTCTTGTTTTATTTCAACGCTGGGAATTATGTGCATTCCCAGCCCGTAATGAGTCCCAAACAGTCTCTCAAGATAAGCACCCACCTTTCTCTCCTTTGAATTGCTGCCAACAACTAAAGTGCCAAATTAACTGAAAAAAGCCAAACGAAGTACAAAGTCCACACAGAGCTTCAAGGTTTAACACAAACAGAGCAAACGACCTTGCTTCCTGCAAAGGTTTCTCTACCTTTGCATGTCCTTTATACCTTATGGGAGGGGCCAAACACCACCTGTTAGGGTTTGAGGATTAACCCCTAGCAGAGTATTGCAGCAGTAGT